GATACTTATTTGTTACAAGATTTTTGTTGCTGTTATGACAAGCCCTTCTTTCCCCCAGTTCCATATACAAATTGATGACTGGTGATGTGAAGAGGTAGTCATTTATTTTTATCATCTAATAACTGGTCACCTAACTTTACTTTCATATACTTTTATTTTTGGTATGCCAATCCAGTCCACTTTGATTTTTTTTTTTTTGAGAGAGATTTTTTTGCTTTTAGGCCATGTGCACTCATCAGAGAGACAGATTATGAGAAATCCCCCTGGGGGAATGGCCACGCCACAGTCCCTTCTCCATTCTCCTCTTGGGATTTTGGTCACACATGCACACGTGCTCGGCATGAGTTTCAAGCTTCCAGATCTGGGACTTGAGCCACAGTTGGCCATGTGGGAGTCCAATGCCTTAACCACTACACCACCTGCTGGCCCCTCTATTTTGAATGTTTAGGTTAAGTAATTGTGTCTGCAAAAAGTAATGTTTTTTTTTTTTTTCCCAATATGTGTACCTTGTTTTAGTCTTTTCCCTTTTTTTTTTTTTTTTGGCTAGGGTGTGTGCACTCTCTGGGGACAGGGGGAGAGAGAGAGAGAGGAAGAGAAAGATCACCTCATAAGGACGATGAGCATTCTTCAATCCCTTCTCCTCCATTCTCCTCTTGGGCTTTTGGGCACACGCCCCCAGCATGGTTTTCAAGCCACCAGGTCCAGGACTCAAACCACACAGTCAGCCATATGGGATCAAGCCACCTTAACCACCATGCCACTGGTTGGCTCAATTTTTTATTTTTAAACAGCATGGCTAGGGGGGTCAGCAGGTGGCATGGTGGTTAAGGCATTGAGCTCCCACATGGCTGACTGCAGTTCAAGTCCTAGACCTGACAGCTTACTTTCTCATTTTCCCCTCTCTTTTTTTCTCTCTCTGGTCAAATTTTAAAATAATAATAATAAATAAAATTAAATAAATAATTCTTTTTTAAAAAGTATGCGAATACTGCTCTTTCTTGAGTTTTTAGTTTTAAGATATTAACTCTCTTATCCTCAACTCATATATATATGTGTGTGTGTGTATATATATATATATATATATATATACACACATGCACACACACACTTTGTTTTTCTCACATTCTCTTACTGTCACTCTATTATAATTTATAAACTATAAGATAATTATTTTGGGGAGGTTGGCAGGTGGCCTGGTGGTTAAGAGCGCTAGACTCCCACATGATCAACTACGTTTCTAGTCCCAGACCTGGTGGCTTGCTTTCTCACTTTCCTTCTTTCTCTCTCTCTCCCCTCACCCCCCCCCACCTTCTCTGGTCAAGTTAAAATAAATAAATAAAAGTTTAATAAAATATTTTTTTAAAAAGATCATTATTGTTTAATTAATTATTTTTATCTTTGCCAGAGGGATTGTGTGCTCACCAGAGAGAGCAGAGAGAGAGAGGGAGGGAGAAAGCACCCCTCCCCCGATAGAGAATGGTCATGCCTCAATCCCTTCTCCATTTTTCTTCCTTTTAGAATTTGAGACATGCTCACACACTTGCCTAGGGTGTTTTTCAAGCCTTGAGGCTAGGATTCAAACCATGTGGTCAGCCCTGTGGCTTCTGGCTCCTTTAACCATTTAGTGGCCCAACCACTAAAATATCACATTGGTTAAACCAGCATTCAATATGCATGTCTGTGTCTGTGTGAGTATTATTCACATGAACCAGGAAGTGTGCTTTGATTTACTTTCCTTTCTTATACAGCAGCTGTTTCCCTGGGGTTAATAATTACCTCCATTTTTATTTGCTCTATGGTCTCTAATTTATTCCCAAACTCCTCTACTTAAAAACAAGTTAGCTAGGGACCAGCAGTTAGTGTAATGGCTATGTTGCTGGACTCCCATGTCGTCGGCCACGGTTCGAGTCCCGGACCCAGTGGTTTAAATTCACGCCGGGCGCGTGTGCATGCGTGCCCAAGATCCCGAGAGGAGAATGGAGGAGAAGGGATTGAGGCATGGCCATCCTTCGTGGGGGGTGATTTCTCGCTTTCTGTCTCTCTGTCTTTCTCCTCTGTCTTTCTGGCGAGCGCACGCGCCCTATAGTAAAAACCTCTCCAAAAAAAAAAAAAAGTTAGCTCAGAGAGCTATTTGTAAGGCTATTCAGCCACAATCTAAAGTGACCAAAAAAGCTGTGAACGTCTAATCTCCATATGCAGGCCTATTAAATAAAAGTAGAATTAGACCTTTAAAGTTTAAAGCCAGGCATTCACTTTTCTTTCTTGCCAATTTATGTGCTTTGAGGAATGTTTTCCTAAAATAGATGCCTTTCATCCACCATGAAAACAGTTTGAGAAAGTGGAACCCCCTCCCACCTGCCCTGAAATTTATAATCTCCTAAAGTGTCCCAGGAAATCCTTAGCAGCTCATTATCCATACTCACAGCCTGACTGTTTATTCTGTACTGATTCAATTGAGACCCCTTGTTGTGCCAGGAGGTGCTCAGAGACTAATAGATTCATGTAGAAAAGAACCCAAGAGTCAGTCTGAAGTGGTTCCCACTGGCCCGCATTAGGACAGTTTAAGCTAAAAAAGTATAATGATAATTATTTATAATACTGAATTTTTTTTGGGGGGGGAGTTTTTGCTATAGGGCGCGTGCACTCGCTGGAAAGACAGAGAGACAGAAAGCAAAAAATCACCCCCCGGGGATGGCTACACCACAATCCCTTCTCCTTCATTGTCCTCTGGAAATCTTGGGCACGCACGCACACACGCCCAGCGTGAGT